TCACATGCAGTTACCATTATCATATGGTATGGTATCTAAGTATTAAGGAACATTAATATGGTGCTACAGTGTGTTATATTTATGTTATATAGACAAGGGTCACAGGTAGTAATGATAGGAAGTAGTTACCATAATGGTATATGGTATTAAGTATTAATTAAGAAACATTACCCTTGTGAAAAATCCCAGCAAGATCTTATAAGGTTTTTCATGATTTCACATGATTATACAAGAAAACATAAGATAGTAATCTTGTAAAATTTTAACACAGAAATTCTTGCAAATTCTTATTTAAGATTTGATAAGATTTGAACAAGCTGTCAGATCTTATGAGATCTATCATAACTATAATTCTTGTAAGAATTTTAAAGATCTTATGAATAAAGGAATATGTCAGAAAATGTAAGATCATGCCTCACTTAAATCTTGTAATACCACACCTTGTAAGAACTAAGATGATCTTGTTAAATTGAAATCTAATAAGATCTTACAAAATCTAGTAAGTTTATGATCTTGAAGAATCATCCATGATCACATGACACATAAGATCACTCATTAAGTCATAAAAGATCTTGAAAGATCTTACAAATTGCATGACGTCACAGGAAGTGGTAGACAACCCACGATAGCCTTTACGATAATGGCAGTATATAAAGAAAGTAAAATTTCAACATAATTAAGTCAAAATGTTAATGAAGTTCACATTAACCTTCACATCATTAAGTAATTCATTTATGCAATGTAAGATCTTGCTCAGATCTTACTGTTACATCTATTTTTCATAAGCTGAAACTTCATGTAAGAACTCAGCTAATATTTTAAAATCTTGATAAAGCAAGATCCCATGATATCTTTCATGTTCTTTGTTTCAAAATCAGGTAAGATCTTGCTGTGATCTTAAGGTAAGATCTTGCTGTGATCTTCTAAGAATTTGGTAAGATCTTGAGAAAGATCCTGTAAGATCTTGCTTACATTTTGATAGCAAGATCTAACACTATCTTACACAATCCTTGTTTCAAAATCAGGTAAAATCTTGTGAAATATTAGCAAGAATCTTGTCAAGAATTTTAAAGAAACTTAACAAGAATCTTGCTGGGATTTTTCACAAGGGTAATGTGGTCATATATTTGTGTTATATTTTACATATCTCAGGTTATAAGTTAATGTAGGCGATGGTAATGGTATATATGGTGGTAGCAATGTGCTCAGTAAAGCAAATGTAGGCATATTTACATTGTAAAGGTCAGAGGTTATTAGGTATTATAGGTAATGCTATGAATGTACTTGTATAGCAAGGTTAATATGGTATAGGTACACCTATTGAGGATCATTATGTTATGATGTAGGTAATGGAACATAGGAACATATGACAAGGTTGATATAGTGTTTATCATAATGGTTTTACAAGTGTATAAAGGGTCATAGGTTGTAAGTAGTCTTTATAATGCATATGATGAATGGGTAGCAAGTACTTGCAACGTCAACCTACAATCATCCCAAATAAAAATTTGGGATGATTTCAGAGCCATTTTTTGGAAAAAACCATGGACTATAGCCTTGGGTATTCTTCAGATTTTTGGCATTTTCTCATAACCTGAAACATGGAAGTCGGAATCAGCTCAAACTTTCTACACAGCATACGGACATAAATATGTATCAGAAAATGTATTTAAAATTTGGAGTGATTTTTTGGCCATTTTTGGAAAAACCATTACATGTACAGAGTATAATGGGCTTAGTTGGATTTAGTATCCGGATCAGAGTACGGAGAAGACTGGGAGTATATGGAGGTGTGGCTTGTGAGTTAACTTATCATGGATTTGTGGATTGGTCTTTCTTGTATCTCCAGTTTATTAGTGTGTTTAACTGTCATTATTATCATTAGCATATTAGTCACTGATGGTGTGTCTGGTTTACTGTCTGTACTCCTTCGTGCTATACTCTACCTCCCTGGAATGAAAGCACTTGTGTCCCTGTATCTCAAAAAAGAAGTTAGGGGGTTTCTGAATAAGCTTGGTATATCCAAAGGGTCAGGAATAAGCAGCAGGATCCTAGCTATACCTGAAAAAGGTTCAGTAATATTGCATTTATAATGTTTACTGCATGGTTGCTCTAGGTCTAGCTAATGAGAAACTCCTGGAGGAGCTTCAAAGGAGGAAGGCTGCAGACTTCAACCCTGACAGCGGAAAAGGATTTGCATATGTATACACTGTTCACAACCAGCAGTTTCAAACTGTTCAGAAAGCATTTGATCTATTTCAGTTCAATGCTGAAGACACATCAGCAACAGGTACTGAGTTACAAGTACTGCATTATGTATGTGATGTGCTTTGCAGATTTAAAAGAAAATATTTCTGTTGTTTTTTTTCGTTCGTTTCTTCACGAAAATGCACTTAATCCAATGGTGTTTCCCAGTTTGAGACTGTTTGAGGTTGAAGTGGTTGCCATGACAGCATGGATGCTGAATGGTCCCAAAGGTGTCGTTGGTAACATTACTAGTGGAGGGACTGAGAGCATTCTAATGGCCGTTAAAACCTACAGGGACAGAGCAAGGGCACTCAATCCTTCTATAAAACAACCCGAAATGGTAGGTACAATATTATCATTATCATTAATAATTATTTATGATATAATATAGGTAGCACCTGTCACTGTCCATCCAGCGTTTGAAAAGGCAGCTGCTTATTTTGATGTTAAAGTTATACATGTACCAATCAGTGACAGTGATTATAGAGTTGATATTAATAAATACAAAAAGGTACAGCTGTTTGTTTATTATTATTTTAATTATTTATTTATTTTAGTGTATAAATAGTAACACAATATTGTTGATTGGTTCAGCTCCAGAGTATTGTCATGGTATTATTGATCCGATTCCTGAATTATCCAAACTAGCTCTGACCTATGGACTACCACTTCATGTTGATGCCTGTTTTGGTGGATTCATGTTACCATGGTAACAGTCTTTAGTATGCATGCAGAATCATTTCTTGTCCTGTCCTTAGGGTGGAGAAGCTTGGATACAACATCAAACCATTTGATTTTAGACTCGGAGGTGTCACCTCGATCTCAGCTGATGTACATAAGTATGGCCTTGGCCCTAAGGTATCAATATAATTATAATCAATTAATTATTTATTTTATTAAAACAGGGTGCCAGTGTTGTCCTGTATAGATCGTCAGAAATTAGGAAGTACCAGGTCTTTGCATACACTGACTGGCCCGGGGGTTTGTTTGGGTCCCCCAGCATGTCCGGTACACGTCCTGGAGGAAATATTGCTTCTTCTTGGGCGGCCATTATGTCCCTGGGACAAGAGGGATACTTGAGTGTAGCTGAAAGACTTATGAATGTTACACTCTCCATGAAAGAAGGAATCAGATCAGTACCAGTTAGTAATTGATGCATTAAATATTCATTGTTATTAATTAACAGGAGTTGTCTTTATGCGGAGAATCAGATATGACAGCATTTGCTTTTACCAGCAGTAGTGTCAGTGTGTTTGCTGTAGCTGACGTGATGGAGGGGAAAGGTACGTGTGCATGCTAATAAAGTACAAGGGATGCGTATTGGGTATGTACTATTGTAGGTTGGAAGATGGAGCGTGGGTCTACTTGTATACACTGTACTGTATTACCATCTCATAATAATGAGATTGCTAAAGAATTTATTAATAACCTTAAGGAATCAGTATCTATTGTAAAGGTATTATTCATTATTATCGTTATCATTGTTATTGTTATTATTAATTCAGGCTAATCCCAGTCTTGCTAATAAAGGCAGTGCTGGTGTGTATGGTATGGCTGGGAAGATTCCTGAAAGAGGATTAGTTAAAGATTTTGTAGTTGAGTTCTTTAATGAAATTTATACGCTATAATGTTAGCTGCTGTCTCTCTTTACTGTTTGTTTTGCCTTTGGTATTCCATCCAAACTTGATAGTCTTTAGGGACAATATAAATGACACTGTTAATGATAAACTATAGATTTATTAGTAGTCGTTAATATTAATGATTAGTTTCTTACTTGTATGGCCCAGTTTATGATAGGTGAATCCAGTTCCCATGGTCTTAATAAACTCAATACGCTTAAAAGTCTTTCTTGTGACATTACGGTAGGTCCCACAGCTCTCATGTACTCCTCCATTGAAGATAAACTGATTAACAATTCTTTACAATAAACATTATCTAGTGCATCTGATGGTAGATCTCCTTTAAGAACAACCAGCCTACAGTATGCATTAAAAAAATGATGATTGATACTGCTTACCAGTTGTAATTCATCATGAGTTTATTTCTTGCCATTGCAGTTGTTTCTATCTGGACGCCTTGTCTCATGTGGGTTAGGTCAGTCCACATGTTCCCACTTATTTCTAATGCAGTAAACCGTTGCTCTATGGCTTCTTGTCTCTCCCTTCATTAAACACAATTATCAATGATTATTAGTATAATTATTATTATTGTGTTACCTTGCCATTACTGATAATTGTTCGTGTACTATTAAATCACGTGTTTCCTTGACAGAGTCAAAACTAGCTGCTATATTGTCTGGGTCAATATTAATATGAGGTAATGATCGTTTTGGTGGCTTATGTGAAGGGACTGAATTCTGCATTGCCTTTTCCTACAAATAATTTTTGTTATTTATTATCATTGCTATTTGCCATCATCGTTATTTTATCATTATGTAGTCTACTACTTACTTCCATTAACTTTTTGATTGAGTTTCGTGTCCTTTTCTTTGCACGATTGAGCTCCTCCTCAATTAGTAGCTTCAACTTTTCAATTTGTTCAGGCTACAGATTTAGTGTTCATTGCAACATTTACAGTTATCAAAATACTGCTGGTGATTTGGCTTACACTTAGTCTTCTTTGCATTCTTATTCTCAATTCTTCTTTTTTCAGTTTCTCGTTTTTAGATGAAGGCCTACACTTGTGTCTCATCTCTTTATTTCTGCCGGTTGCTGTTTCATCATTAAGTTGTGTCATTGATTCGTATATCTTCAATAAGGCTAGAGTCTTGTCATATATTAATCTTCCTTTGTCTTCAGTAATGATTGGTCTGTTAACAGTACAATACAGAGCACCATTAATTTTACTCATGTTATAATAACAATACCTCTTTTTGAACCAATAAGTATAAAGACTTGGCATGTAGTGTGGTGATTCCAACTTCATACATTCTAATATCCAAAGGATGGTACACAGTTTAGTGCAGGTTATTGATCTACAGCAAGAGTATAATATCCATTATTATAATTGTTTAAGCTTACATTTCATCAGAATCACACGAATGATCTTCTATGATGATATCTTGTGACCTAGTTTAGTAATTTTACTAATTGATTATTAATCATTAGTTATTGTTACTCTTCGTTAGGTAGCGTTGAATATGAAGTATCTTTTAAATCTTGTTTAACTGGAGGAAGCCATTCATTTGCCTTTAGTTTTTTCTCTTTTTCATTGACTTGTTGTAATTTCAACTCCTTTCACAATAAATTAATGCAAATAACCACTGATGCATTTGTATACTTTGTCAGCTCGTTCATTGTGTAGCATATGAAATAGCCCACAGCCTTTTCTTACTTTGTCCAATTGCATACTACAAATGAACCATGGCCAGTAAATAGAAATGTATGTGATTTCGGGTCAACTTTAAAAATTTGTAAAAATATCCAATCTTAAATGGAATCGGCTCAAACTTTCTATACAACATAAGAACATGTATATGTATCAGAAAATGTAACAAAAATTAAAAATTCCATCCTAGTCATTTTTGGTAAAATTTGATCAAAATCCCTATACTAGAGTACAGAAACTTATTTAATTTTGGAGCAAATTTTAAAATTTGTAAAAAAAAATCTAATTTTTATCAAAATCAACTCAAACTTTCTAAACAACATTACATGTATCAAAAACATAGTAAAAATGGAGAATTTTTTCCTAGTCATTTTCAGCAAAATTTTGTAAAAGGCCACATCAATCTTACTCTACACGGTGCAGTTCTTGATGGAGTGTTATAAGTTGGTCTGTTGAATGTATTGTTGTTCTAGTTCTCATGTTTGGTGGTATAACTGCAGCAGCAGCAGGTTGGTCAGTGCATCCATCACTTGGCTTCATGTAGTGTTCAGTCGATTCGGTGGGTATATCCATCTAATAATAGTAACAATACAATATCAATGAATACAAGGAGTCACTTGTCCTAGTCCCTGCAGTATAAGTGTTTTATCATCCAATTCAACATCTCCTATTTCTTTGTACTTGTGTCCTGGGCTACCATGAAACCCACCTTCACTTAGTTGACTCTGCCTCCTGCACACCAAGCAGTAATGGTGCATGTCAGTAACGAGAAGACTCACCTTTCATAATTGTCCTTCCAAAAGACACCTCTTCCTGGGGACCAGCAGCTATAAACAGTTTGTGTTCTTCCGGTCACTGGCCCATTCTGAAAGCCTTCGGGAGTAACCACTGGCAAGTTATGGACTTTAACTTGAGGTAGCTTGAAGCTCGTGGGATTTCCCTGATTACTCTGCCTGTTGGTTCCATCCTCTCTACTTAGAGAAACTGCCATCACTCATTATTATTGTTGATTTCTTAAGGTGAGAATTTTGGGTGGGGCTCAACACTAGGGCGGGGCTCACAAAATTAGGTGGGGCTCAATAGGGAATTCTATGATTTCATCATTAAAAAGCACACAACATATAAATTATACATGCTACAAATATGTTCTTTTGTATTTGTGTTCTGCAATAATTGGACTTTGATATCTCCACGGAGGCAAAGGTGTAGGCGTTGTATCAGATATTATCTGTTAAATTTGATCAAATCATTTAAAATTAGAATGATGTCAAACCTTTCCGGTGTTTAGATCAATTATGTTTCCAAAGTCATCGGTTGCAACATTTAATAAAGTTCGTGAAACACCTAACTTTGATGATAATAATAATAATTAATAATGATTCTTACCATTTGGTATACTGTTGGTTTGATGATTGAAGTAATTTGGAACAATAAGAATAGAGAACGACAATATAACTACCTATTAATTTATTAATGAGAATAATGCCATTTTATTGTTACCATTAGAAACGTTCCTGACTGAACTTTACTGGGACTGTATTGAGAGACAATGGCCTGCAACTTGTGCAATTGTGTCAAGAGGCTCCTAAACAAGGAGCAGCAGTTGTACTATAACAATAAGTCAATATTCTCACTTATTCTCAGCTTGTAAACTATTAATCTTTTCTTTATAAAGTATGTTATCTGCTGTGCACTTTTCCACTCTTTTCTCTAAGCCATCAATATACTCTTTCTTCCTCTTCCTGCTGTCTGCTGCACTTTGCTTGTTCTTTATCTTTCTCCTCACTCGCTTAAGGTGCCTTTCCTCAGCCTAGTCTTACATTATATATAGCATGGACAGTTGGACACAGGTGGCAGTACCTTTGTAAGAGGCATGTCTGTTGGTAAATGAATGCCTTCTTCTGCCAGTAGCTTCTTTTCCTCCTCAGATAATGTCAGTGAGCCAGTTTTTCTGTTTGAAGAAGAACTCTCTTCGTTATAAGGCTGCACTCCATCAATCTCTAGGTCAATGTGAACATCAGAGCTTTCAAAACTAGTAGTGCCGAGTTGATTAGTCCAGCCGGCACAGCCTGAAGGAGGAGTGGATCTTTCATCACTGCTGGTGACACTGACTGGAGAAGACTGTGCATTGAATGTAAATGAATTTAAACAATCAGGACTCGTGTCGTATTGGAGTGGCGAGATTCCAGGAGTCAGATCATTGTTAGGAGAATAAGAACCCAATGATGGATTGAGGGAGTGTGCAGGAAGGAATGGGTCTGGTACGGACTGTGGGTTCAACAGCTCGTTCAAGAAATCCTTTAGAATAATAGTACACACTCTACATTGACTACCACCATCAGCTACATGTATACATACCTTGTCAGTTTCTAGTAGTCCTGACAGCAGATCATCTTGAGGTGATACCATGTCTTCTTGAAGATACAGAATAGACTCAAGGTCCATTAAAGGATCAACTGGAGGATTTACAGTCACTGGAGGATTTACAGTCACTGGAAGAACACTATCAGTAGCCATAACTACCTAACTATCTACAGACTGTGAGTCAATGATCTTGTAATTGTACAGTGAGACGAGAGAGCTGGCAGTGTTGACGTGGAGCAATTCTATTAATAGAATGATAAACAATGATGTAATCTTAGATAATTTATTTTTCGATATTTCAGAAATATTCAGTTAATTAGATATTATAGCGTAAAGAAGAAGATGCCTCCAAACCTTTTACCCTCAGACAGGCACATGGGATTCAGCTCAGCAGAGTCTCTTGGAAGAGTATTGATATTTCTGTTGTGGAGATTCTGGAGGATTTGTGTGGCAGCCATCTTGATAATAATACTCTTATACTGGATGTATGGAGGAGTGTTGATACTGCTGGTGTTGCTGGTTACTTTAGTTGGGGCCCTCTATCATTACCAAGACTCTTTACTGTATTA